ATTCCTGTTCAGAGTGTTATGATGCAGAAAATAAATTTTTAACACTGAAACTGCTGCGTGTTCGCTTTGGTCTTCTGTAAAACAGAGTTAACAGAAGATCTTCTGTGGGAATTTTGCTGTAGTTTCTGGAATTTCAGCTACTGACTATATATAACCGTGTTGTTTATACAGATTAGTCAAAGGATTTAGTCTTATGAGATCCCTGCAGAGTCAGCACAATTATTAATATGAAGGAAGAATAACATATTTGTGGCTTGTTAATTGTTTGTCCATCATGTGCTATCTGCTGCCAGTTGAAAGAACTTCTGCATCATGTGAAGGACTTTTTGAGGGGGAGGAATATTATTCACCTCATAAAACACTTAACTAGCTGTTGCCCAGTATTTCAATACTTTCTAATGATGCAGCTGTGTTAGCAGTTCTGTGTGTGCCTTGAAAAATAAGCTATGCTTGATCTTTATGTTGGAATGTGCATAGCAATAGCTATCCAACAGTGAATATTGCTACACTATTTTGAAATGCTGTTTGAAAGTACAGTAGGAGAAAACCTGAAGTTCAGTAAATGGTATTTTCAGTCCTTTTTTTCTTTTTTTCTTCTCCGTACCCCCACCAAAAATCTGAAGGCTTTTTTTTTTTTTCTTAGCAAGTTGTAAACTGTCATGTTGCATTCATCTTGCTGCTTATGCTTGTGTTAGTAGGAGCTGAAAAAAGATTAAGATCATGATTCTGGATACTCAGCTCTTGTAGAATAAAGGGCCAAGACCTCAGAAGCAAAATCAGCCGCAGGGGAGTGGTCACATGGGGCTTGATTGTGCAGATACTCAGATAATCTGTGAGACAGCAAAGATGTTTGAAAAATTCAGGCCTTGGACAGGCAGCCCTGTGAGACAGGGCTGGATTATCTTCTTGGCTAATGTCTTGTAAACCTACTGAAGTCTCAAGGTTTTCAGAATGTGTTTCCATATCTTCTTTCTCTTTACCCTATGATGTGCACATCTGAGTAATTACACGAGTCTTATAATAATAGGAGTTATGCAGATTAAGACAAGATTTATTGTAAACCACAGAATAGATTTCTCAAAAATGCTAGTCACTGCCTGTCAGAAGTTGTCAGGGTCTTAATGGCTTTAAGAGACACTACACTGTTCATTACTGGATGTCATTTTACATTAAATACTAAAATGATTAGCAAGAAAGAAATCCAAAGGCTGATGGACTGAAGGAGTTGTTGCTGGCTTTCCAGCTCTCCCAAGGGCTGCATAACAGCCCCATGGGTTCATGGTAGACATAGATTCTTATGTCATACTGGTTAATATTTTATTTTCTAAAGCCACATGCCACTTTCGTTTCATTTCTATCAAGTGAAAGAGGGTGTTTGCTCTCGCTTGTTTTGAGTAGACTAAGTGAATTCATGCACTTTGGGACACAAATTACATTTTTAATAGAATCCTTTAGGGTTAGATTTAGGGTTAATAATATTTCTTAGAATCCATTTAAAACTCAAAAAGCAAACCAATTGGAAATTCAGTTAAAACAGGCTTGATAGAACGGGGAATTAAGGGAATGAGAAGAAGTATGTGTTTGCTTTGCACGTCTCTCCTAGCTTTCATGGCTGCTTTTACTGTGTGACACAGTGTAACTTCAAACACCTGTATCCAGCCCGAGAAAGACTCTTTCAGCCTTGTTTGTGCTAGTCAGTTAAGCAGCCAAGTCTTTTCTCTGACCTGTAGGACAAGTGGGGCAGCACAGTTTGAAACTCTGCTCCCATCTCCAGCCAAAAACTGAAATGTTGCCTCAGTTCCAGAGCCAGCTGGAGACAGCATGTGGCCTGTCCTGTCCCCACGCTGTGGCCCGGCGTCAGCGGGGAGAGCAGCGGCTGTGAGAGGCTGGGGCTGTGCCAGCAAAGCGAGCTGCAAACATCACATGCTGGTGCATGAGCTCAGCCTCTGCTTGGCCTGCTGCTCTGGCAGGACTGTATGCTGCCTTTGCAGGGCTGCTTCTGGTGGGCATGTCAGGGCAGGGAGCAGCACACTGGACTGGAGCAAAGCAGACGTTGTTGAGAAGCCTCTCAGCAGCTCTGAGAAGTTGCTGTAATTTAGCTGAGGCCTTCAGGTGAAAGAATGTGCAAGGTTCTGTCGTGTTCTGTGTTCAAAAGGAACTTACTGCTGGTAAAACTGAAAACTGAGTTAAACCCTCTCCTGCCTTTGATGAAGCTCTGTTACGTAGCACAGCAGAGGGACACCCTTTAGTACTTTGCAGTCCATTGCTTAATACATATAGATCCAGGTTTCCTGTTGCTTTGGCTCTAAAGGTGGTGAAACTACGTGCAGTTCACTACTAATACAGCATTCTCTGGGTCATGATGTGGCAGATCCCAGTTAAGGTTTATATGTGAGAGCTGTCCTATCAGCTCGTTACCTCCCATAGCAGAATTGTGAGGGTTTCTTTGGGTCACCTGTTATTTGAGTTGTATCATTAATACCTCAAGGTGCAAGTTGCTTGTTCCTCTAGGCTCTAGGAGTGTTTATAGAGAAGGAAGATCTTGGATACCATTCTCTGTTTTATCGAAGGATAACTGGCATTCTGATGTTATCCAGGGATGAAAAGTGTGACTAATTGGATTACAGTCACTGCTGGCTCTTCTTCTTCCAATATATTTGACAAATTATCACGAGTGTCCAGAAATGAGGAATGCTGGGCAGACTGTGCTGCAGGGAATCAATCACTGGACCTCTCGGATACTGTGTGTTTCAGGTTGCAAGTGGACTGAGTGTGATACAGGCCCTGCCTTTGAGCCAGAGGAGATCAGTCATCTGGTTACTTGGCAAGACGGCCGCTGCAGTCCCACCTTCCTCTCTTCTCTTCCTCTGCCACAGTCACATATCAGCCTGGCTACGGGATTTGGGTGTGCCACAATCTACTGGTATTTAAAGAAGAGGTACATCAAGCTGTCTCACTTGCAGTTTCTCATCTTGAATTTATATGACAATTCTTATTTGTGTAGCATGTTAATGCCACTACAGGCTGAGGGGCTGAGATTCTCTATAATCATAATTTTAAGTAGTCAAACAATATTTAAAATGGCAGTTTTCAATATAAACTATATGCCACTGAGCACACAAGAGTCTCTGACCTCATAAAAATATTACAGATCTCTTTAATAAAAATAAAAGCTTCTGACCATGTTGTAACAGAAGACTTAAGTATCATAGAATAATTCTAGTCTGTTCTACCACTCAGAGGAGCTCTGCTAATGCAGTTTGAACACTGTAACTTTGCCTTTTGCAGACTGTGAAAAGTGCAAACATGCCTGAAACAGTAACAGAGTTGCTTTGTCTGGTTGCTGCCAGATGCTAAAACAAACAATCCCTAAATTAATTCCAGTTCCTTCCTTCCTTAGACAGTGAGATCCTTACGAGATGTTACGGATGGTCTGCTTTGTTGTGGCATGTTTGCAGAGGATTTAATTTTTCACTTATGACTCGGCATCAGCAAGATTTGTTCTGCAGTTTCATCTGCAATATGCTGTGTTTCTCAAAGAGCCAATGTCTTCCTCAGCAATGAGTCCAGGTTCAATAAATGGAGAAGAATATATTAGATCTTGGTTTCTTCCAATGTATGTTCAGCAAATACGTGGAGCACAGCATGACCTTGCTTTAGAGCTGTAGAACTCATTAATCCAGCTGCTTTGTTTTGTTGCTGTTTTGTTTCACCATTTGGTACATTTCCATTCATATCATGTGTCCATCCTAGAGTCACTGCAGGAATTTACCAATTTCTCTCAAATGCTCCAGGATCAACAAAGTGACATTTTTTTGTGCAAACAATTATTGCCTTCCTGGTAACTTTTGCAATGACATGCTTTTGAGCCTAGATAACTCATTCCTTAAAGCTGCTGTCCCTCCATCTTTCATCAGGAGATAAGTATTGCTGCTGTGATAACAGCTTGGAAAACAAATTCCATTTAAAAAAAAACCCAACAAACCAAAACAACAAAATGCAGGTTTATCACCAAGATGGGTGTTTCATTTTTAGATGGGACCATACAAGTCTGAAGTTTCCTGTAGCACTGGAAGTAATCTTGCTCCCACTGCCTTAAAGCACCCCTCACTGGTTTTGTTTTTAAAATGTTTTGTTTAAAAGTCCAGATTTTCTGAAGTCTTACGATGCAGCTGGCACTATCCATGACTATGTGGTTGCCATGTTGTGTGACCTGAAGAAGCCACTCATGTCCATCCAGAATGCTGCCAGCTGGGGATATTTTAATTCCAGAAACAAAAGCTGGAATACTGACATGTAAGTGCTGAGGTCGTTCAGTGGGGTTTGTGTGTTGCTTGTGTCAGACAGTGTGAACACCTCTTTGGGCCCTAAGTGTGAATGTGCTACAGATAAAAAGTGATTTAAAGGTATTTCTAATCAATTGTGGTGCACCATGTACTGAAGAACTATGGAGAGTTTTCTCTGGTTTGTAAGGTATATGTTTAAATTATCATCTAGTCCAATCCCCCCATTGGACTATCATCTAGTCATCATCTAGGGGGACTGGACTAGATGATTTTATAATCTATCATTGGGGGATTGAACTAGATGATCTTTCGAGGTCCCTTCCAATCCCAAACATTCTGTGTGTGATTCTGTGTGAAAATCTGGCACAGGATTTTTAGAAGTACCTAAGGCAGCAGAGCTGAGTCTCATCAGTGAGGTCTTCTGTATCAAACTATTCTCTTCCTTTCTGCGGTGGGATGGGGTGGGATGGACAAGTGCATGCTGCAGTCAAGGTGTTACCTCTGTGATGGAAGAAGATTGTTACTGCTCTTTAGTTCTTTCAGCTGAGCTCCTTCCTAACTACTAAGACTTACTAGTGTGTCCTGGGTTTTAGCTGGAACAGAGCTGTTTTCTTTTTAGTAGCACTGCGTTTTGCTTTCAGCTGGGATTTGTTGTGAGAGAAACACTGAGAACATCCCAGTGTTTGCATTTTTGTTGCTGGAAATGAAGGACCTTGTGTTTTGTTCGTCTACAAGCACAAGATCTAAAGGCGTGAGGAATATTGAAATTAATAAGCCAAACTGGTGTTTGGATATGCCAGTGGGACATTTCATATCATATCCTGCCATGTCCAGTATATTGAGGGGCTCTTCCTCTCTTGCTCACCCTGGCTCTCACTTGGGCTCTGGCTCTCCCGGGATTGCGGTTTCAGTTTGGGATTGTGGTTCCTCCGGGATCGTTATCTGGGAACAGGCCGGGCTTGGTCAGTGGGTGGTGAGCAATGGCACTGGGCATCAGTCATTTCCATATTTTATTACTGTTATCATTATCACTACTAGTTTAATATTAGTATTATTTTAAGTTTTATTTCTATTATTGAATTGTTCTTATCTCACCCTACGGGTCTCCTTAGCTTTGCCCCCCAGTCCTCTCCCCGATCCCCTGGGTGTGGGGGGGAAGTGGGTTACAGCTGTGCTGGCTGCTGGCCAAAGGCCAGCCCAGTGAAACCATCACATGGTGATAATACCTAAGAGTTATTAGGCTACAAGAATTAGCTTGTTTATTTATTTACTTATTTATTTTAATGATTTGCTCTTTCAGGGCTGAGTGCTAAGGCTGTATATATTTCAGGGCTTAGATTAGGCCAGGACTCCAAGATGAAAAAAATCTGCTCATGAAGGTATGAAAGAGTGACAGAAACTTGCATTTGGCCTGTTGAACTTTTACTAATCTGATGCTGTTGCTGTAGCCATGTAGTGTATCTTGCAGTTTGATTGTGTAAGGAGTTTGTTGGACTTACTCTTGTGACTTGGTTTTGAACCACTAACTGCATGACACCTCAAAGTTCTTTGACACTTAGAAGTTGCATTGTTTTGCTGCTTTTGTGATTATCCCTTTACCCTGGAACTGCTTGTCCATATGACATCAGTAAGTTAAACTTGCTGAACATGTACTGCTGTATAATCTCAGTTAATCAGGTTGCATATGTAGGACAGTTGTTTATTCTTCTAGATTATTCTAGTTTATCCAGCTTGTTGAACTGGAATACTGCCCCTGTCCAAGACAAAGCTTTATAAATAGGTGAAAACATCCATAAATCCAGCAGCCACAAATGTAATGGCCAAGTTCATCTGTGACTTCAGAGAGATCCTTCAACTCATGCTGCATGTCAACCCATACTGCTTTCCTGCCATAATGCTGTTCTGATTGCAGATTGAAAAACTCTGGATTTCCTGTTCACTTGCTTCCAGAGGTGGCAGACCCTGGCAGTATTGCAGGCACGACAATCTGTGCATGGCATGGAATACCCAAAGGAGCAAAAGTAGGAATTGCTCTGGGAGATTTCCAGTGCTCTGTTTATTCCTGTCTGACTGAGAGGACTGATGCAGGTATGATCATTTTGGCATCTTACTTGGTTTTCTTATTGTCTTCCTTCAGGATAGCCTAGTAAAACACTGATTTTTGGTTGGGTTTTTTTTCTTTTATGTTCTAGTTCTCAATATCAGTACCTCTGCTCAGCTGACTATCTCAATGCCCCCGGGTTTCCAGCCTCCAGAAACACCAGATCCTTCCTCAGCTCTTACTTATTTTCCCTACTTCAGTGATGACTACTTGGCAGTGGCAGCATCACTCAACGGAGGCAATGTGCTAGCAACGTTTGTGGACATGGTGGCACGGTGGACAGAAGAGCTAGGTGAGCTGTTTTAAGGATAGTTAAAGCTTAAAATTGAGGTTAATCAGCAAGATAAAAGGAAGCTAAAGCAAAGGAACAAGCCTAGAGCTGTTTTGTTATGCCATATATGGAACAAGGATGTAACTCTTGGGTCATGCTTCCTAGATCTCTGGAATTTCCTGCTTTTTTTTAGCTTATGAACATGCTGGGACAGTCGTGCTTGGCTCCACACTCACATTGCCTCTAGGGTTTGGGTTTTCTTTTGTTTCAAGAATACAAGAGAATTATTTTTTTGCAAGTTGTTTTTCAAAAGGAAAGGTCAGCAAACTTGAGGACAGCCTCTAATTTTGTATGACTGCAGTCCAAAAAAAGTCCCTTGATTTAGATCAGTTGCCTTTTGCTGCATATTTTGCAGCACTCTAATGGATTTTAAGACCCAAACTCATGTAATATATTCTAAGTGCTTAAAACATGGTCTTTACAGGTATTTTTTAATAAGCTCTTGGGGTTTGCAATACAGAAATAAGCTCTGAAATTCTTCTTTCATTGAGTACTTAAAGTGAACTTTGAACTCACATGCAATCCAGTCACTGAAGCCAAAGTCTGACATTAGTGCCATTAAATATGTTGTTTTGTGTAATTAAATATGTTTAAATATGTTGTTTTGTGTAATTTAGCACAGTGTAGAGAAAGAAGAATAGCTGTATTATCAGGAAAGGCAGTTTCTGTAATCAGAACAAGATTTGTAGTATCACAGATACTGGATACAGCTGGATGGGAGAACTGTGGTTCATAATCCTGGGAAAACAATTACCTTTGGGACACAGAAAAAGATA